TGGCAGCAGAGGGACATGGGTTCTTATTTCTTACCCTATACACACAAGCCTATAGGGAGGACAGTAGAAATCTGATGGAGGAAGAGTGGCATCAACCTCACCTGTTTGACATAGCCAGCAAAAAAAGCCACCTTGACATAAGTGGGGAAGAACTCTGTCCCTTTAAAAAAGCTGTAACAAGCTATTTTCCACTGGAAAAAATATTCAAATCCCAACAACCAACCAAAAAAACCTATGGCAGGGGTAGGAGTAGGGAAATTAAGAGTCATATTTCTTTTTGGAACATTCTCCCTAATTGGAATATGAATGATTTCCAGGCCAGAGTGGCAAGAAAGGGCTCAGGAGCATTTGGTTATACCTGAAGTTCTCCACTGTAATCATGCAGTGTAGCCATGGTCTACACATGGGCTGCAAATGGCACAATATGTACCAGTGATTATAGACAGTGATTATGGCACTCCTTGAAACCTACTACAGAGAATCTTTCTGACAAAATTTTAAAAAACTCCAAGTGTTGCCTCAGAAGACTCTGCATTACATGTCCATGGTTAGGTAAGAAAACTAGGTTTAATGTCCAGAACTTTTCCCCAGTGCCTCATCCCATGCCTCTGTCTAGCCTACACCAAGCACTGACAGCTGGGTTCATTTCTCCCATAGCAGAACAAGGCAGGGGGTGGGGGAATGTTAATGCTTTCTCCCTGCCTTAAATATCAGTCGGTCAGTCCGTTAAGACGTCCCTAAGAACTAGCCCAAGTCACAGTTGCATGGGGCCAAGAAGGATGGAAAAGGGATTATATCAGCAGCGTGGAAGGGTCTGAAAGCTATATTCAGAGGCCTGTTGGAACATAGTAAGGCCAGCCCTAGCAACATCAAAGGCTACAGCACAGAATTAGTTTATACATCTTAGTCAGTTGGAATAGACCCTTCATTAGGATTCAGAACAAACCTCTTCTTCTTGGCAGACAGGAGCGAGAAACAGAATAAAAATGGAAATCGGATCTGAGCCCTGAATTCCCCATTCAGCACGAGTTCCTCTTATTTGTGCAGGAACCCTAGTTTGCCTGGCTTTGTTTGAAATAAAGGTAACAGGAAATTTCAGGGCAGGATGAGGTCAAGGTCTTTTGCTTTGGGGCCAGCAAGCCCTGGGAGGACTCCTGAGTCAGAACACGCTGTCCTAGGAGGAGGACAAGTAGAGGGAGAGAGCATTTGCCATGGGGTACCAGCAATACCATCTCTCTACAGCTGCACCTTCAGCAGGCAAACTCAACACTGAGACTTTGCAAAAGACCTTTCTTACTTTGAGTGGAACAAGTAGTTGTCACTCTGTACAGAGTCATTGACAGTCTGATACCCGAGTGGATGTTTTTTAGCATGCAGAGCACCAGGTTGAAGCCACTAGTAAGCTTGTTACTTTTTCCCTAATGTTCATCTCTTGAGGAAGTTGCTGCTCTGTTTCAGAGTATTGCAGGCTAAGAGGACTGGATGATCAGGTTTTGGGGTTTTTTAAATGCCTCTGATATCAGGATTATTCACATTAAAATCCAGAGGTCAGACATAAAAGCCTGAGTTTGACTTCAGTCATGTCAGCATGGCAATGCGGTCACTGGGAGGGGAATGCAGGTATACTGCAAATTCAGTTTAAGAACAGAAAGAAGCCCAAGTATTTAAAATGGGAATTAGTTTTCTCTACTTACTGTATCATCATAGCAAAGCATGTTTATGTGTAAGAAGGTATTTGTTGCTGGCCTGTAGGACTTGTCTTCACTGTGTTTTAAGGCAGAAGAAAGAAGGAAATATCTAAGATCTCACTCTATTGATTAGCATTTGTTTTACAATTTCATATAGATTTTCTTTTAGAAACAGTCTCTGGATTGAAATCAGACATATTTAGATAATTTTTTTTTCGCCCTGAAACAGGACTGATGAAATATTAACAGCTGTTAGAAAGATAATGCTTGCATTTCACTTCATGATGTTGAAGCCTTTAAATCACTGTATTAGTCCCTCAAATTGTAAAGAAAAAGACAATTTCCTGGCTGCCACAGTTGAAGAGAAAAGAGACCGCTAGTTATAAGCAACCTGTGCCTTTAATGATTTTATTAATATTGCAAATTGTAACTGACAGAGCAATTAGGGTTGAATATTAACCCAGAAAGCAGCTTGACCAAAGTTGATCGTCCTGTTAAATAGATGGAATTTAGTTTAACAGAGGAAAAAATAGGTTTCTTGTGTCTTATCTCATTAAGGTGATTTCCGTAATTCCAGTAGTGATTCCCATATTTTTAAATCTAAACTTGGTAACAGACAAAAAGACACAGCTGCATTGAGATGGTAAGGGACTTAGAAAATTTCTGATTCTCTCATGAAATGTCCATTGCTGAATTTTTTTAATTTGGCCGTAACTTATTCCTCAATGAGATAATCCCACAGCCTCCCTTCCTCTGAAGTATGTCCCCTGGATTTCTTTAAAACCATCATATCACTCTGGGTACCTTCTGTTGCACCACCTCAAATCATCTACCTGCACTTAACATTAAGGGGCTCTAATTTTCTTCTCTCTTACACCTATTTTTCATCAACATAAATCCATTTACTTTAATGGGATTGCACCTGACTTGCTCCAAGAAAACCAGACTGAAAGAATCAGCCTCATAGTGTCCAAAGTCATATTCAGTATTCCAAAAATGACCATTTTATGATCGTTTTCTGCAGAAATAAATTTATTTCCCTTGGCTCCACCTCACAAGACAGCATTGCTGCTGCAAGACCTGACAGACAGAAAGATTCTGACCATGACAAAATCTCCCTTTACCATTTAAACTGCAATGCTGTTTGGGAAACTACATGACTAATTTTCAAAGAATTACAGCCACAGATATTTTTTCCAGTTCTTCCTTTGGCTCTTAAAAAACAAATCAAACTTTAATTTTCTGCCTTTTTCCCCCCATACACTGGAAAATACTTAGGATATGTTTTGGCAAAACTGAAGGAAATATCTTAAGAAAAAACTTCTTTGAAGCCAGAGAGAACAGATTTGCCATGATGTTTTCCCACTGTGAGATTTGCTATTCACATACAAGAAAAAAAAAGTCAAGCTTTATCTATGTTATGAAAGGCAGAAATATAGGGGCTGGAAAAAATATTTCCTAGCATAAGCAAAAGGCAACCATACAGCTGCAAACAGCATAAAGTAACCATATTTTATCCACCTAAACTGTTCTTTCACAAATCAAACAACAGGATTCCTGTCAAGTTAAAAATCTTACTGTATATATTTTAAGTGTCTCCTCCCTTTTATTCTGTTACTACATATACCCTTCATTGTTTACAATAAGATGGAAGTCTCATCCTATTGTTTTTCTACTACCTCTGTTGTTTGCTGTGTATGTTGCATGGGTAAAGTTTCTACACCGGAATTACAAAAGAAAACTAGTAAAAGAATGTGAGCTTCATTTCTTGCCTTAACTGTAGTGTAGACCCTGCCAAAACTAGGGTTGAGGTTTGCTGGAAATTTAATTAATTTGAAATTTAGGTTGTTTCTGAACCAGACAGGAATCTTTACTTTTTTTGAACTCTCTCCTAAAGACAGGAACAGAACTAAATCTCACTGAGCAGTTGCAAAGAGCTAGGGAGTTTCCAGTCCCTAAATGACCTGCTCAACAACTACTCATAGGAAAGAGGCCATTAGCCCAAGAGCCAGCCACATTAGTCCTGAGGTCAGGAACCCTCAATTTTCAGCAACCCCTTCCCTACAGAAAACATACCAGGAATCTGTGCAATCTGGCAGAATGTGGCATGCTGTTCAGAACCAAAACTTTTTCAGGCTTACATAAAATGTAAAACTACCTCTCTTCTGGTCTGCTGGGAGAAAAGTCAAGTCTTATGAGCTAATTCTGGATCTGTAGAGTATTGAAAGGTCTGGTCTTTTATCTCAAAATGATCCATGCAAGGAGGTACCACGTCATTGTGCTTTAGCACTCCTGATGAAGTAAAAGCAATTCCTGGAGAGAAATCCACTGCTGACAATGGCATGTATGAGAAAAGATTCTGAAGTAGTGAGGTTTGGTGTATATTGGCTGCCGTGACATAGAATTGAAAACTCTGCAAGCAGGCAAGGCATTGTGTGCCTTACGGCCAGAGTAATGCCACAGCAGGGCACAGTAAGCCATGTTTTCTGTCTTGGGCCAAATATGATCCCAAGTGGATTTCGCTAGTATCACTGAAATCCTCCAGGGTCAGCTGGAGCTCTTGCTCAGTGACGTTAAATATTGCACAATGCTCCTTTCAGCTAGTAGAAATGATACAGACTTTATCATAGCATATGTTGCACAATTCTTACTCCTTCTTGCTCTTTCAAGCCCTGTGAGATGAAGACATTTGCTCAAGCATGAAGAATTAAATCACTAGAGCAGACAATTGATTTGAACTCATTTGAACCCAGTTACTTTACAGTTCGCTTGGCAGGACAAAACCAGGTGTATAACTATACGTACATTGAGGACCACCAACACAAAGATGGAGAGAATCTACCCTTTTTCATTTGTTTGGATCCCAAGTCTCTGGCATTCTTTGTGCCAGAACTCTACCTTTCAGGTGGCTGTGAGGGAAGACAAACTTCCTAGGAGTGACTCTGGCTAGAGCATCAAGCGTAGGGCTCAGCTGGGGTATGTGCTTTTAGAAGAGAACAGCTGATCCACACAGTGGAAAATAGCAGGCAGGTATATCTCTGTCTTATAAGGTTAGTCCATTACCAGATTTCTTGTGTGCTGTTTCCCAGGTCCAATTATTTTTAACCTTTTTACACATAAAGCTCCAGAACTATTCAGTGGAAATATTCATAAACTGCAAGCAACATGTCTTTTAAAATGTTGCAAGAAGCTCAGTGCATTCTCTGGCACTGTGACTGACCTAACCTACATATCAATAACACTCCTAACAATTAATGGCCTGCATCAGTGACAATCCTGGAGGCTAGTCATACACACAGTGCCTGTACTCACAGTTTTCACAGCGATTCCCTGTATAGCCAGCCAGACAGGCACATTTGTAGGTACCACTTTTGTCTAGAATGCACGTTCCATCATGAAGACATGGAGATGAAGAACAAGCTATAAAAAAAAGCAAGAACATTCATGGTTTCTCATAGGATGGGGGACCTATCTATTTTTCCTCATGATGGTTGTGTCTTGGGGTAAATTACATATTCTGTTTAAAAGTTAGGAAGACATGGTGAAGGGCCTAACGCATGTCAAAAAGCCTTCTGCTCTTCTTTCTTACTTACTGGAAAGGCGATCTTATAGGGCAGTTTTTTTCCCAACATTCATCACTTACTCTTATAATTTTCCTTTAACTGTAGTCAAGTGGTGAGAAATGTTTTTGGAAGAAAAATAATTTAAAGCAAGCTCCAACGTTGTTAAGAGCTTAGCCTAAATTAAAGAAGTTTAATACCAACTTACATTTCTCCTGCCATTCATCCCAGAGTTTAGGGATAAGTTCTGGGATCCATTGTTCTGGCAGGTTTTTTGGGTCTCAGATCTTGTCATCCCAGACTTTGGGAGTTTCTTTGCCCCTGAGGAGCATTTCTTTGGTGTCAGGTTCAGGAAGCCCTGAATGGTTATGATGACTCTAAGTCTGCCAGGGAAGCACTTGCACACTACAAATCTACCAGTGATACACATCAAACTGTACATATTAGCATAAATTAATATCAGAATGTGTAATTGTGCCATTTTGTATCAGCAAATTCTATGGTGCAATAACACACACACTTTTTTTTGTGCCTGCTCTAAGGGGACATGAGTAAGTAGAACATAATTTACTCTGAAAAATACAAATAATCATTTCCACTTAGACTATTTTTCAAACTGAGTGTGGGTTTTAGCAGACAGAAAGTAGACCCCAAATCTCTAGATTTAGATCCAGTTTAAGATTCAAGTAATTCCAACACCTGAGGAGTTTGGGATCTGATGCCCTGCTTCAAGTCCATCTTAACAAAACAAGAGTGCAGCAAAGTTCACATCTGGACCCATACAACAAGTTGAATGCAGTTTCAGCTCACATTGACTACAAAACCTATTCCTCACCATCTTAAAGAATTATCCAAGCATGCTCAATAACTTGCAGATTAAACTTTGAAATCATAATTGCTAGAAGGGTCTGCATTCTAATTCATTTACAGATCATCTTTGTCCTTCCACACTAAATACACTAATTACTTCAGTTATAACAGAAATATGAATCTTTGTACCAGCTGTTGAGTGTTGCAACCATGAGCAACCAACCCGGAGAGACCTATGGTGAGGTTGTGTGCTATTACATTTAAAGCATTCTCTCTGCTGCAGTCTAGAATGACAGAAAACAGAATCAGCAGTTTTCCTTGCAAAGACTTCACTTGAAACATAATCTTTAAGTCTCTTATATCCAGATGGCAAGAGACAAGAAATATATAGATGCCACATATGGATTTCTCTGGAGGTTTCATGTGGTGATTTAACAGCAATTCATACATGGCTGTGCAATAAATATCTTCCAGGTCTCATTGAAGACTAAGGTCTGACTAAGGACAGTAATTCATTCATTAATGTGGCAATTGTACTGTATCCAACAAACATAAAATATCACTGAGAAAGAGAAGAAGCAGAAGATTGTGTACAGACTGATATCTTGTTGTCACTGGTTTGAAGGCAGTGAACTTTCAGCTTTGTCTTTGCCCCAGCTTTGTCTCATGATTCTGTAAGAGTAAGCATGTCAAGTGAGCGAGGATAAGTGCCAGATATTTTCCTTGAAAATGCCTGACAGTCAGGAGCACTAAATATTTTTCTTTTTAAATGAGTCTTGATTTCCTGGCTTCAGTCAAACAATGTGGGACAATACTTGAAATGGTTAAAGCCCTATGTTGTGTCAAAGATCTCTAGCTTGGGGGTACAGAAAGTAAAGTGCTATTGAAATTCAGTAGCATGCTTTCATCTAACTAGATCTAGCATATGTCTAATCCCTAAGAGACCCTGATACCTCCCCATCTGGCCTCCCATCCTTCTCATCTGAAGTCTGTTGAGTGACTTCTGGTCACTCATGCCAATTACTGGTTCCCATTTGACACGTGGCATGGGATGGGATCTACTTCCAGACCAGGCAGTGCAGCAGGGTGTGTGGTTTCGTCCTTTAGTAACTACACATGCATTGACCTTTCCTAAAGGGGATATAGGCTTTGCAGCTTATTTTATATCAATCAAAACCTTTCTGGCAGTTGAACCAGTGATGTCTGTGCAGTCAGTGCCACTGCTTCAGCAATCTATGACTTACAAGCCAGCACAGAGCTCAGAGGAAGGGAAGACAGAAAGGCAAGGAATTCTGTTGTGACAGCACAAGACACTTCTTCAATCCTCTCCATTACACCACTAAGGTGCTGGGGACATCAGATCACCTTCATGGCCTGGTTCACATCCTGTAAGCACAAGCACTGCTCTCATCTGCAGCACAGGGAATTCCTCCAGCAAGCCCTGTGCAATCTGTTCCGGGGACCTCAGCTTTTCCACAGTGCTGTGCACAGAGGGAAATTTCAGGGGAAATGCTTCAGTTTGCAATGTGCTGCCAGAGCTTTTGATCCTGTGCTGCCCCCACTTTCAATTCTACACTGCCCCTTGCACGCCATATTCTTTCCCTAAACTGTCCTGCTGGCCAGGTTAATGCTTCACATAAAAAGACACTGGGAGTGTTTTAAAAGCCTTTCACTGTAGCATCACATTAAGCCAGAACAGCCTCATAATAAAGTGCACAGTAAGACCTCCTCACAAACTCTAAGAAGCCCTTTGCAACGTGCACTGTGTGATTTACCACACTTGCAGCCACCCAGCCTCAGAATAATTACCACTAAACACAGGGTGGAAATAAAGTGCTCAACAGTATTCGAATACCAAGTGTTCCCTGCTGGGCAGAGAAAACAGAATCAATTCAGCTCGCACCATATGGAATATGTTAGTTCCCTAAGTGTAGGCAGCCCTTATGCAACATAGTCCACACCACATTCATTTGTTCTGTATCACCTCTCCTGCTGTAAGCCCAGGCGAACTATCAATAGCTAACTGCTCCTGCTATGTTACTAACAGGTACTCAAGGTAACATTTGAAGAACAGGGCAGGCTAAGAAATGGCATTGGCACTGCATCCAGCCATATACACATTTCAGATTGCTAGTTACACCCCTAATCATTGTTAACAGCTGATCCAGTGTAGGTTTGTGTATTTATATAAGGATTATATAAACTAACTAAACTTCCTGAGCCAGATATACCCTGGATGACCCCATGAAATGTGGGTCACCAGGGTGTGCAGAAGGCAAGTTATAGATCCTGCAGGGTTTATCTATGGCAAAGCAGCACACTCTCATTAACCTTCTGTGCTAGGAGTACTGTGGACAGATTTGACCAAAATTCCCTACATAGCTAAACAAGGAAGATCCAGGAAGAGCATAGAGGCTGCTTCAATTGCAATAGCAAAATGAGGATCCAGCTACATTTTCAATGCTATTTTACAGCCAGAAAGAAACGATGGAAGGCAGTGTGGGGGACTCAAGCACTGAATACTAATAAAAACACAGGAATTCTGGAGCCCTGCTTCTGTCATTCATAATACTGACTTCATCACAGAATGGGAAATGCCTCTTTTTTTTTTTTTCTTAAAGAAAATAATCTGTCCTTTGTACATACTTTTTTTTTTAAGCCTTAATGGTATGATACATGAGCCAACACAAGAGTCACGTCAGGGCATTTTCACGAAGCTAATTATGAGGCTTTGCATCAGGTTTTTTGCTAATTGAGACAGTGACTCTTCTCCTGCACACAACATTGAGCAATTCTGCAATTGCAGATACACAGGCCCCTTCCCCTATTTCTTTCTGTGCTTTTAGTTCTCAGATTTAAGCAGAAAAGTCTCACAAAACAGCAGCTTTTCTGTGATGGCTGATGCGCTTTTTCTTCGCACAGGTAGAAGAATTCAGTCTTTGTGGAAAAGCCTCACATTCACATGCCATCTGACAGCTTTTGAATCTTCCCTGCACTGACTTTGTGTAAGTTGCTGTTGGCAACACAGCATGACATTTTTTAATGAAGCAAAACAGAGAGAGAGATTAGTGAAATTGAATTAATGAGAATGAGTGGCATGTTCCACTTTTGGATTATTTTACCTGTAATTCCTTCAAAGACAGCATGAAATCCGTCAAAGTTCTTGGATCCATCAGACTGGAAGAGGACATGGAGTGAAGACCCAGTGCTTCGGATGGGAGGCGGCCTCTCATTTCCACAGAACTTCTTAATTATTCGGCTGTCCAAATTGTCCCCATCACGGACCTCCACATAGTCATACTGGCACATGTAGTCAAACTCCAGGCTCAGCATGGAAAATCTTGGGAAACAAGGACACACAGTCAGCATGCATACTCTTACCTGTGCACGTTGGCTCTGATTTATTTGGTTGTTTAGTTATATCTGTGCCCTCCCCCCTTCAGTGAATCAACAAGTCCCTAATCACATGAAGTCACCCTCACTTCATTTCAGTCTTTGTATCATCATCCCCGGAGACCAGCTCAAATCTACACAGTTGCTCCATGAGAATATTTAAGTGGCAGAACAGTGAAGTCTAAATTGAAGTCATACAGTCTGTTCACATGCATCAGGTCCACAACCACATTACAATGTTAGAATTTTCATCTAGGGTCAGACACTGTAGGGGGCATATTTCTACCATGTCCATTTGCTAAAAATTGTTCTGTTTCCCCTAAATGAAGCTCTAAGTACTGAAAGTAACAGTATCAAAGATGAAGGCTCAAAAGCTATTTACATTGTGATGTTCAGAAGTCAGCAATAAGGGGTACAAGGAAAGCTTGGGGATGTAACAGAAGCAGAATTAGGCAGGCAAAGGAAATCTGAAACACTACAGCACGTTTGGCATTAGAAAGAAAAATGGTAGTAAATCCCCAATGTCTGGCACTGGCTCTTCTTTTGAGGGCAGAAATAAGGGACAGGAGTTAGTGCAGAAGAGAAATATTTAAAGCCTTTTTCCTACAATATCTGTCTTTCCTAGCCTTGATCCAGCCACTGCATGAAGCTCTTGTTCATTAACAGCACTGTTATATGCTGCTGTTTGAATTCAGTAGGGCACAGAGCCAAAACATCCCACCAGAATATGAATGAGAAACAGAGTGAGAAACACCAAGTGCCTCTGGAGAATGAGCAATGGCCAGGGGTGCTGGGGCCAGCCTTGGTACAGCAGCTAAGAATGAGAAGATCTAGGCCTGGGAGAGGCCATGCTGCTAGCTGTTCAGCAGAATATTTTATAAATGAAACTTATATGAATGAAACTGTTGTGTACTCAATCTTCTTGAGAACTCCTAAAGCCGCAGACTTGTGTATTTAGGATTAGGCTAAATCTCCCACCGTGCTTATTCCAGTGTGGGCCTAGTGATTTGCAAAGACTGCATTTTCACACCAAAGAGATGAGACAAATTTTGGATCTGCTGCTGGATCTCACAGTCTGAAGACGCAAGAGAATACTGTAGCCTATTTCCTGCTCTTCTCTGTAGCCTACTCCACTGCTCTTCATGGGGACTCAGGCCCCCATGTTAAGGAGGCCCCCATGTTATGTAAAATGACCTTTCTTTGACAACTCATGAGCTGACTTAAGAGGCTTCTTCACTTAGTCACCTTTGTTCATTTCATATGGTTGGGTTTAGAGCATCAGGAGTACACTACGTACAGAGAAATGAATGATAAGTTGTAGGAAGCTACACCAATGGAGCAAAGCCCCTCATTTTTTAAATCATCTGGTGGAATGTAGAATAAGAAAAAAAAAGACATCTGCTTTTAATATGCATTAGAGAGAGATTAATTCAACTTAACTTTGCATAAAATGCATGAGTTGAATTCTAGTTCTGTCAGGTTTGCCAGAGACATCCTCAAAGGCATCAGGTTATACACTACATCTTCAAAACATTCTTTCACTGGTGGATCATACCCCAGGGATCTACCCTTATGGAAATTATAGAGCAATACAAACCAACCCATTCATCCTTGTCACACTTATGAGGCTACAGTTTATCCTGACTCAATCCTAGAAACATTTACCAGTTTAAGTAATTAAGTATGTGTGTAAGTACAGTAAGCAAGTTTCTGGTATGCCCACCATGTAATGGGAGCAGTATTATTTATAGATGTAAAGGTAAACTCTGTCTAGCAGCGTGTTCTTGAACAAAGAATATCAAGAGATACTCACACAGAGTGAAGGCACAGAATGAAAGACCCATAAATAGAATACTGTTTTTAAATGTTTACTTTTTCTGCTTTAAAAAATGTGGAAAATGGGAAAGGCATAGGGGTTCCTGATTTGCATTTTATTTAGCTTAGCATAGAAGCAGATACACTGTACTGATGACATGGGATCCCATGATTAAGACTCAGAATTGGCATGTCAGGAAACCTGCCAAGCTTTTCAAAACCTCTTGGCTATAGCCCAGTTGATGGGACTCTTTACAGACCACGAGGTCTATTGCTGTTTAAATCACAGGTACAGGCAATGTAATGAACCTTAGTTCCCTCCCCTGCGAAACTGTAACTTTATCATAATTCTCTTGGATATTACGAAACTAAGCATGCTAATTTAGTGCTACAAGTCATCAGATATAAAACGGAATGCAAAGGATTGTCTTGATTTCATCAGTGTCTGCAGTGTGAATACATTCACCAACCCCTCTGAGGAAAGCCTCTAGCCAAAGGAAAATATTTAAAACTGCATCTCTGCTGAGGCATTAAAGAAAATGATTGAAAGTTGTGAGCTACTTCTACTGTGGTATGACATCCCTGACATGGCTTGAACTGAGGGAACTTATACATCACAACCCGAAGAAAAACAAGGGTGGAAAAAAGCAGAGAAAACAAACTACCACCACAATCTGGGCACCATTTATCAAAACGGCTCTGCTTAGCCAATCCCCAAAGGACTGTGTGGCACAGCCTGAAGCAAGGGAAGATTTGCCAGTGCTCCTGAGAGTTTTACTCTTCCTGCCCTATGTAAGCAGAGACAAACCACTTTGTTCCCCTTCTGTATCACACTGTCCCCATCCCTGCCCTTGCAAGCTGTAAGAATGGCAGCAAACAGGATTTGTGCACAGAGAGAATGAAGAAAGGAGTTCTGTTAGCAGTTGTGCTGATTCAGCACAATGTTGGATGTGCATCACAGCTCTAAGCAGAGTTAGCACCCACAGAGGGGATCAGCACATTTATATGAAAATGCAGTGAAGGCAACAATACAGCATGGATGGCAGACCCAGGAAGAAGACTCTGGTGGCCTGCTTAGTTGTACCTGCCCTTCTGATGGCCTAAAGGAGAAGCTTTAGGCTAAATGTACCAGTTTTTCACAGTATCTAACTGCTGAAATACCTCAATGGCCCGTTTTGAGGTGGCTCACCTTGAAAATCTCAGCTGATTCAGCACACACTGCGGGGTTACCTTATGTGAGGTAGATATAGGTCCTCATGTTCTGTGCTTGCCCTGGAGCAAGGCCCCTCCTTTGCCTCCTGACTTGCAGGGTGGCAGGATTAAGTGTGGACATTCAGGACAGTTCCTCGCCTTTCCCTAGAAATGCCATGTCATCTGCTGGGATCTTTAGGCACTCAGACATCAAGCTCAGGTCAGGCTGGGCACAGGGCTTTAGGTTTCTCCAATGCTACCCAGCTCAGATAAACATAGTTGGTGACAATAGAAGGTTGGTAGCTCAGGTTCCCTCTTGGAGACTTTCACAGTTGGAATGTAACGTTATGTCACAACAATGAGATGCCTAGTATTGTGTTTGTTTGACTGTAGGAAGGATGGACATGGGAGAAAAAGAGAAAGGCACTCTCTGCAGGATGCCCCTCATGTTAATTTTGCATCTTCTGGTAACAGCAAAGGTAAACGGACAAAATTGTACAGATCTCATGTGATACTAACATATTCTTAGCATACATGTGGGTAGCCTTCAGGATCTAGAATGGAGGTCTGATTTCTCCAAAAAGTTAGTACTTCTGTTAGCTTACTTGACAGCGCTCCCCATTCCTCTGCCTTGAAAACAGATGACAGTCTCCATAGTGAAGCCACAGCAAGTACTGCTCTTCGATCTGGTGTACTTTGTTAAAATAGCCTTTTCTCCCTTTCTTGTACCTTGTGCCTGGTGCCACCTGGCTGTCAACTCTTTACCCAGAGATGGGTGCATTCAGTAGTGGTGTGCATGCACAGGATCCATTTCCACTCTCACACCCTTTCCATAAAAGTGAAGATAAGGTGACACCTGTAGCTCCTGAAGCACTTCTTAAGCCTTACAATTGACAAAGACTTGTTCAGAAATGTAAAAAAATACCAGGTTACCACCTCCCTGAGCTTGTGCTGTGCAAATCATACACCTAGCCAACAACATCTTTTAAAAAAAGGTAGGTACAGCTCATACCTGCTGAGACCGATGCAAAGTTGTGTCATGAGAACACAAAACTCCTCCTCACAGAATTGCTCCCCTGTCTCTCCTACAGATTTATCCAGAGTCAAGAGGCTCCAACACTATCCAGGCAATAATTGCAGCTGCTCATAGCTACATAATAAGTTGCATTTGCAAGTCTGAAAAAAGGGCATTAGTGTGGGAATGCCACAAGCTCTTCTTTTCTATTCAATTCTTCCTCTTGTTAAATATTAAGTCTCTCATTAAACATATAGGAAGAAATCTGTTTGTGTATCTAGCGTAGTTCTTCTGCCTGGGCTTCAAAGCTGGTGAAATACTGGTGTGAAGGTTTTAGCTACTATTTTTATTATATTAGCTAGGGGGTTTTAAATACAATCCCTGCCAAGCTTCCTGCTGCATGTGTGAGCTCCCTGCTACACACACATGAAAACAGTATTAATTACCCCAACTAAGGGCAATCCTGCACTAGGCAGGATAGCCAGTCACGAACTGTGAACCTGAGTCAGCAGGGACAGGTTAACAGGTCTAAGCAGACACAGGTCAGAGGAGCAATGACTTGCAGGAGAACCAATTACATCCTCCAGACATAGGAATGGTAAGAGGAATAACTGAGGCTGGTAGAGGACGGGGCTGGTAAAATAAGTAAAAGAAAAATAAGAGAGGGAAAATGTGGCTAAATGCAAGGCAGGTCCTACAGGCAAGTCTCTCCTGACATGAGACATCATATCAAAATGTTCCTACATTTCCAAGCTTTTCTTCAAAGAATGTCTTCGTTCAGCCTGGTACACTCTTCAGAAAATATTGGGTGCTTTAGTGTCAAAGTCTTGAAGAGACCTCTAGAGAGATACATTGTGCTCAATATCTGAGAAACTCTCCTCAGCATTCAGCTGTCCTAAATGGGAACTGAAAGCACAGCATTGATGATTTGAGCAGTGGCTGCCCATCACAAGCTAGACCAGGGGAAAGAGCTGAGGTACCAAACGCAAAGTGGTGGAAGTACCTTTACTGCCCCAGGGCTCCCAGCTGTTGATCCTCATTGAGACTTGGTTACCCACGTGCCCCAGTGTCCACCTGAAACAAGTGCTGGCTAAAAGTCAGTATGACCTACCTTAATTCAATGTTAAATCCAGCTTGAACATGAATAGTCCATTCGCATCGTGCATTCAGTGGGTAACCCTCCAGCAAAATCTGACCTCTAGAAGCCCGAAGCACCTGCCCACATCCTGGGGAAAAAAAAAGAAGAAAAAAAATCTGTGTGAGGGACCTTCAAGAGGCATTTGAGAAAAATACATGTAGAAACAACACCAGAATGAAAAGACAGGGTGGTTTAGGAAGATACAGATTTTCTTACAAGGCAGTATGTGAAATAATGAGACAGCCACACAGCTTTAAAGAGTTACGACTCTGTTAGACTATTGTCTAGGCTAAGAGCACCCCTAGAAAAGTTACAGTTGATTGCTTCTCCCTGTTTTGCAGTGCAGCCCCATGAAACAGCTTTTGCCCCATTCTTGACTAGCCCACCCACCCACCTGGCTGAACACTCCATCTCAGAACAGTTTTGATGGATCTCACGTTGGCCTGTGTAATCACTGAAGCTGAGGAAGCTGGTGGGAAAGTGCCAAATTAGCTCAAGTGAGCGAAACAATGAGAGGAGCTGTTGCACCCAACATCACAGTTTCAAGTCCTTCACAAGAAGATTCTTGGAGGAAAAACAGCTGATGTATTCCTAGGAGACATCCGTTTGTCCTCAGGATTCACCACATCCTTACATGTTAATGCCACCATGCCAATGGAGACATAACCGTAACAGCTCCTCCTGGAGCTCAGTGTAACACAATGACTCAATGCTACACTTATATTATACACAGCCCTCACTGCTTCTCTCAGGTTCATTCCTATCCTTCCTCTCCTCCTGTTCCACTCTGCCCGTGTCACACTCAGTTTTTTGCCATACTATGAAATGTACTTCAGTGCCCTGCATCAACAGAAGATTAAGTACTCCAGTCATTTGTGCCCAGTCTGAGAAAACCATCAGAGGACAAGGACCCGAACAAACAAGGTCACACACTGAGGAAGCAATATCTTTTCATGGCTATCCTGCAGCTGTCCCTAGGCAGCTGTCCAGGGATAGTTTCCCTAATTCCTCATCTTGGATGCTGAACACTTTTAGCCCAGAGAGTTCTCTCAACGTTGGTAACCTCTCCCTTTCTCCCAGTTATAAAATATAGCTAATGGTATTTTCCTCTGTGGAAGAAGGAAAGTTGTTTAGCGATTTTTGTAGAGCCTTCTGTGATCTGTATATGCAAGTGCTAGCAAAATGCACAGTTAAATCATTACGCACCAAACAGCTAATTTCTCGGTTTCTACTTGCCCGATTACATCTTTCTGAATGGAGTCTTGCACATGGCTACATTCCCTGGTAAGCCTTCTGTTGCTTTGCTGGGGGATAAGGCTGTACCTGTAAGCCAGAAATTGCAACTGAGTCTAACAGGGGAACCAGAGGACTCTGACAGGCCGCACACTACAGATAATAAGTAAAAAGACAAATTACCCAAAAGACCTCCACAGCAACTCTCTCGCTTCTTTTTACCTCTTTAGACCAACAGAAATCCCTTCTCCTTCCATCTGTTTCCAAAGAGGAACCCTACACTTTTAACCAGTAACACAGGAGGGAAATGAGGGTGACAGTGACCTGATCTGGTGAAGTAACAAGCATCTGCGGTTCCCATTGATCTTAGTGTCTGGAAATCAGTCCTGCTGCATCTGGTCTATGGGGAAACATGAAAACTGCAGGTCAATTACTCCTCTTTCTTCTTAAGAAAGTGTTGCTCAAATGAAATACCCTTTGTTCATTTACCCTTGGTTACCCTTAATTAAGCAGGACCCAAGGAAACAGAAATCCTGCTCAGAAAAGTTCCTCAAAAGTGTTTCATCCTCCTCTGTGGCTCGCTTAGTTCCCTTTTGTAAAAGGCAAGGATTAATGACAGTGCCCAGCAACCACATTAGGAATCAGCAAGTACAGCAGGATCTGCTGTGGTGCACATGATAATGCTCCTTCCCACAGCAGGAAACAGGACCTTGCGCTGCCACTGGGTCTTGCCTCAAAAACAACCTGAGACAAAGCTGCTATAAATCTTCAGATGGTTTGACAGGGGGCTTGGACCACCTCAAAGAAAGTTTCCCTTTCGTCCCAAAGGGCTTTTGAGTTTCTGATGCCTTTAACAAAGGAAAGCCAAAGAACTGGTGCAAAGAGATATCTGTGTGCATGGCATACTAAACGCACTTTTCTGTTTGCAGTGGTACAGCCTGAACTCTCTGAACACTGGTGCCAAGGAAGTAGGCTTGGCCAGCAAAGCAGGTGGTCCAGAGGCTAAAGAGGAGCCATTCAATGACTGCCTCCAAAAGAACGTTCTCAGATTTGCTACCGTCCTTCTCTGCATGAAGCACCTGTGCGATCACATCAGATCTGTGCTCTTGTATCTCCAGCCCTTCTAGCAGAAGTTAGGCTAGCTCCCCAGACTGACAGTTCAATCATCTGTTGATCAAAAGCAGTCCTTTCTCTTCCCATTCTGAATCTGTGGGAGACCTGGAAAGCTCTCAAAAGTAATTTACATCCTAAACACAAATGCTGGCAAATTCCGCCTCATTTACAAAAAAATAATCCACTTTGGCGGAATGTCAACATCCTTGTTCTGTTCCTGTTCCTGAAAAAAATGCAGATTTCAGGGCCACAGTACGATTTCCTCTAAGGCTTCTAATACAAGAGAAAACAATTCAGGAGACCTGTAGGTTGATGGAGGGAGAGGTCCTGAGGAGACCTCCGGTAAGAACTCATTATCTGCTCTTCCAGTGTCTCAGCATGAATGTAGGGCTCCTTCAAAGGTCAAGAGGATTGCACAGAGGAGAAAGAGAGTAGAAATGTTGCTGGTATTCAGAAACAACTGATATGGGAAGGCAGCTGTCACTCATTAACACCTTGTTGCTACCTGTTGCTTGTTAGTCACCAGTATTATGTGAAACAGTAATGCTTGCAAAGTCTCTAAAACTACAAGTACTGTTGTTTGCCACAGGGACCACATTTGGACAGCAAGGCTGAGGACAGCTGTTAGATAACACCACTTTCTCCCCTACTGTGATGGAGTATGTGTTCTCAAGTGCCGTGACAATCGGAGGTTGACAAAGGCTCTTAGAGCGCAGGGTGCAGAGGAAAGGGTGCTGCAGGGTCATTTTTTTTCTGGTTTTAGATTCTGATGTGTCTTTTAGGGCATGATAGTCCAATCCAATAAATGGTCCCATTAGGAAAAATCCCAGTACCCAATTAACTCTATTCAGTGTGGTTTTTCCCTAGTAATATTCTTTTGGATCTACCCTATACCAATTATCTTTTTACCAAATGATGTGGTGTCCTTTGGCTGTTTTTCAGCTATGTCCATGCGCCCGGTTATGCCAGCAGACAGTACAAGCAGGACAGCCCTATCGGCTGGCCCTTGCTACTCTTCCTTGCTACAGCCCTCCAGGCACATCACCACTTCTGCTGGTGGTTCCCAGAAATCGCTCCCAGGGGGCTCACCCTGCCCTTGCTGTT